CACGACGGTGACCACTGCCGTCCTCCCTCCCACGACGGTGACCACTGCCGTCCTCCCTCCCACGACGGTGACCACTGCCGTCCTCCCTCCCACGACGGTGACCACTGCCGTCCTCCCTCCCACGACGGTGACCACTGCCGTCCTCCCTCCCACGACGGTGACCACTGCCGTCCACCCTCCCACGACGGCGACCACTGCCATCCTCTCTCCCACGACGGTGACCACTGCCGTCCTCCCTCCCACGACGGTGACCACTGCCGTCCACCCTCCCACGACGGTGACCACTGCCGTCCTCCCTCCCACGACGGTGACCACTGCCGTCCTCCCTCCCACGACGGTGACCACTGCCGTCCTCCCTCCCACGACGGTGACCACTGCCGTCCACCCTCCCACGACGGTGACCACTGCCGTCCTCCCTCCCACGACGGTGACCACTGCCGTCCACCCTCCCACGACGGCGACCACTGCCGTCCTCCCTCCCACGACGGTGACCACTGCTGTCCACCCTCCCACGACGGTGACCACTGCCGTCCTCCCTCCCACGACGACGGCGACCACTGCCGTCCTCCCTCCCACGACGACGGCGACCACTGCCGTCCACCCTCCCACTACGACGACCACTGCCGTCCTCCCTCCCACGACGACGGCGACCACTGCCGTCCTCCCTCCCACGACGACGGCGACCACTGCCGTCCACCCTCCCACGACGGCGACCACTGCCGTCCTCCCTCCCACGACGGCGACCACTGCCGTCCTCCCTCCCACGACGACGGCGACCACTGCCGTCCTCCCTCCCACGACGACGACGACAATTGCCGTCCACCCTCTCATGACGGCGACCACTGCCGTCCTCCCTCCCACGACGGCGACCACTGCCGTCCTCCCTCCCACGACGACGGTGACCACTGCCGTCCACTTTCCCACGACGACGGCGACCAGTGCCGTCCTCCCTCCCACGACGGCGACCACTGCCGTCCTCCCTCCCACGACGGCGACCACTGCCGTCCTCCCTCCCACGACGACGGCGACCACTGCCGTCCTCCCTCCCACGACGGTGACCACTGCCGTCCTCCCTCCCACGACGGCGACCACTGCCGTCCACCCTCCCACGACGGCGACCACTGCCGTCCTCCCTCCCACGACGGCGACCACTGCTGTCCTCCCTCCCACGACGGTGACCACTGCCGTCCACCCTCCCACGACGGTGACCACTGCCGTCCTCCCTCCCACGACGACGGTGACCACTGCC